TTGGTAAATTCAAACAAGGTTGTTTCCCCTACTTATTTTATTCTGTGAAAATCTAAAAGTTATACTAACTCAAATTTGTTTTTATAGGTACATTATTTATATATGTTTATATACTTACAATATAATTAATATACACTAAAACTTTTGTAAGGTGGAAACCCCAATAAYATGAACAATTTCTGTAGTTCTGATTCAAATACATAATGAATGTGAACCTCCCATCAAGTAGGAAACTTCATTAAGATGGAAAAATTTGATGGTCTTAAGCAATTCCATTTTGCAAAGTTATACTGTAGTATAAAATATCCTAGGCTGACAAACTGTTTCCACTCTGAATCGTCTTTTGTATACAATGATATTATATMAATTAATTCAAATTTAATACCATCCATTACAATGACCCACTTGTAACCTATTGTACAGCTGAACTACATCCACTTCTCACGTTTAAAATTTTTTTTTTAACTTGAGTAAAATTTAAGTAWAATTTTTATAGATGCTGTATGGAGATGTCCAGCATGTCAATGTGAGATGACTGGAAAACCAAAATATGTATGTTTTTGTGGTACTTTACCAAATCCATATCATAATAATGTAGATACTCCACATTCTTGTGGTCAAGTTTGTGGATTACAAAGAAAAAATGCTAATTCAAACTATAATGATTGTCATCATAAGTGTACACTGCTTTGTCATCCTGGCCCTTGTCCACAATGTGTTGTACAAGTTTTAAGGTTGTTATTTAATCAAATTCAATTCCAATTCTATTTTTATTTCAATAAAACTAATTTTATTCAGATCATGTGCATGCGGTAAAAAACGAGAGTATGCTCAATGTGGGCAGTCCAACCAGATTGTATGCAACAATGTTTGCCTTAAAAAATTAAACTGTCAAATCCATGAATGTCAAAAAATATGTCATGCAAATAAGTGTGATCCATGTAATAAGGGCTGTCCTCAAAGTAAGTATCGCTTTTTAATTAGAAAAATTAAGGTTTGGTGATGATTATTTAATAATTATTTGTATACACTAAAATAAACTAGTAAATATTCTTCATTATTTAATTGGTTTAGAGGAAATTAAAACATCATTACTTATTAACTAAACTAAACCAATTTGTTTCCTCTTACCACGGAGTTGATATGAATTTTATTCCCAATGTGTATAATAGTATTTACTGAAGCTTAATTATCTAAACAGAATTCCTAGTTGTTAGTGTAGTGTATTGTTTATGTATTGTTCRCATTCACTGCTWAAGTGCAGTGATATGAGTTTTGGAAATAAACAATGCAATAAATTATTTTTGGACACTTGACTAGAAATATCTATTTTATCTTGTTATTAGTAGCATTTTATAAACTATATTCCATGTGAGCATGCTGGTTCTGCTCATCAACTTCCAATCGAAACCAGTTCCCCT